GATTAAAAATTGTAATTATATATTTAAAAATTAACCAAATGAAAATAATTTGCATGATCGTACTCCTATACCGAAGGATGAAAGAGGAACAATATATCTTTATATATCTTTCGCTTTTTTTTGTAAATCATGAATATATTTAAGCTAAAAATAACCGACAATATGCAGTTGTTTTGATATTGTTAAGAGACATTTTAATTTTGTTTATTTATATTAGATGCAATTTATTAGAAGTAGGTATTATTCTATCGACTAATTAAACAAGAAAAATGCTAACGTGTTGTGATACACGCATATGTGTTATTTGTGCTTATACGATAGATCAATAGATACATAGTCCTAGACAAAGTCATTGAAAATGTAAAGTTTGAATCGTCTTGTTTATTGCAAAATTCATGGTTATATAAATACAACAACACGTTGACGGCGAGTGTTTACATGAGCGATATGCTTGTTTCAAAATATTGTGGTAATTTTTGTGTATCGCAAATATTTCGTATTAATTTACATTGTTTGCTTCATTGGCATTGTTATCGTGAATGTTCCCAGAAAAGAAGCCTTTGCCTAACCGATCCAAGGAAGTCACAGACAAACTTGATCTAATCATTAGAACATGTCGTGTTCTCGGTAAAGTTCACTTTAACTTATATGTATTTAGACATTATCGGAAAATGGGGTAAGTTTTATTCGGATACAGTTAATATTTAACAGCGAAGAATGATTGATATCTAAATTGCTTTTATATAACAAACACCTATCGATCTCTGAGATCATTTGGAATGTGTAGAATACTTTAATTAAAGTAAATGAGGAATGCGGTACCATGAAACATAATATGGCGAAACAGTACTGTAGTGGATTCTAATAAAATTATTTCTAAAATTTCGATTTTTATTTCTCCAATTATGAATTAGTTTTAACAAGAAATTTACCTAATTAGTTCACTGAAACTGTTACATAAATAGAAGCTGATTAAGTGAGTCACAACTGTGATAAAGAAGTTCAAGTTGATTCATATGCTTTTCTGAAAGTTCTACTTAAATTGTTAGATACATAAAAAAAAACTAAATTTCCAAAAATAGTTTGAAGGTGTTTTGGATAAAATTTTTTTATACGTTGCGTTTTTTTCTCTAAACGCCATTGAACAAATAAAAAATTTAACACAAATTATGTTAAGTATTCAAAATGTTTTGCCTCCTACTTTTTGATATTTCTAACGAACTCAATTTCCAATAGTACCTAGTTAATAATATTACTCTAGTATAATTTTCTTGAAAATAAGAAAAAGTAAAATAAAAACATTGGTATGCAGTGGAAGACAAAGTAGGGAAAGAACGAATATAAAGATGGGAGACGAAAAATTAAATAAATTGGCTGATTTTAGGTATCTAGGAAGTCAGGACGGAAGGAGTAGTAGGGATATAAAGCAAAGGATAGCGCAGGGTCGAGTCGTTTTCAATAAAAAGAAGTCACTTGTATGCTCGCGAACGGTTAATTTGGAAATTCGATAGAGATTGTTAAAGGTATCTATATGTTTAGGCGAGGCGCTGTACGGATGCGAAAAACATGGACGGTGAGCGTAGCGGAAAGGAAAGGTTAGAAGCTTTCGAAATGTGATGTTACCGGCGAATGATGAGGATATCGTGGATAGAGAAGGTTAGAATTGAAGAGCTATTAGAAGTAATAGGAGAACAGAGGACTCTATGAAAGTCAATTAGAAATAGGGAAGATAGATTGGTGGGACACCTTCCTAGGCATGAAGGTTTAGTCAGAGATATATTAAAGGCAGAAACAAGAGTGGAGAGGTGTAGAGGTAGACCTAGATTAGATTACTGTTCGCAAATAGTTAAGGATATGGGTTTTCTAGTTTGGGAGAAATGCAAAGATTAGCTCAGGATAGGAAAGAGTGGAGGTGCGTGTCTTAAGACTGACGACGTCAAGATGGTGATGATCATTTTTTTAATATGAAATATTATTCTGAAAATTCATTTTCATATTAAACTAATTCACTTCGAAAAGATCTCTAAATTGTATGTATGTTTAATCATAGTATATTCAGTATATAGTTACATTAGTTCGACGGATCGTTAACCTTGTAGGTCGGTTGGTCGTGGTTGTTGTTGTCACCTCTCGTAGTTTAGTGGTCAGAACATTGGTGCGTAAAGCCAAAGGTCCCGGGTTCGATTCCCGGCGGGGGTGTGACAACAGCAACAATTTTTCCCTCATTAATTTGAGGTAGCGTGTAGTGGGTAAAAAATTCAGAAATGAATTTTCAGAATAATATTTCATATTAAACTAACTCACTTCTAAAAGATATCTAAATTATATGTATGTTTAATCATAGTATATTCAGTATATAGTTACATTAGTTCGACGGATCGTTAACCTTGTAGGTCGGTTGGTCGTGGTTGTTGTTGTCACCTCTCGTAGTTTAGTGGTCAGAACATTGGTGCGTAAAGCCAAAGGTCCCGGGTTCGATTCCCGGCGGGGGTGTGACAACAGCAACAATTTTTCCCTCATTAATTTGAGGTAGCGTGTAGTGGGTAAAAAATTCAGAAATGAATTTTCAGAATAATATTTCATATTAAACTAACTCACTTCTAAAAGAT